AAAAAAAAAAAAAAAAAAAGGAAGTCCAGTTGCCTCATGAAAAAGCACCTTTGGGATAACTGTGACCTCGACATCCGAGAATCTCCATAGACATTTTACTAAGGATTAAATTTGTTTGAAGTCCAAATCCCTGGAGGCACACCATTATTATTTTTTTAATCTACCTAGTCATAGATTTCATAACCTTGGCATGATTTTGATATTTTGTTTTTATATGGAGATGCGAAATACATTTAGATATGTTTATAATTCGTATACACAAACAACAGTAATTTGCATCATAAAGAGGTCAGCTTGTTTTTTTCTTTCTCTAAAACCTGATTTGCAGCATAACCTGCCATTATCTTGTTAGAATAGTTGTGCTGAAATCCAAGCTGCATTATTAACACAGAAACTTTCTGAACAGTATTTAATATTTCAAGTTTGGAGACAGTGAATACTTTTGAATGTATGTCTGACTTCTTTTTTTTTTTCACTTTGCAAATCAGGCCCAAGCAGTTCTGCAACTGACTTCCCTTTTATATATACTCAAAAGTTTAAGGAATTTCCATTAGAAATTTTCTAAAACTCCTGTGAGCTGCTTGAACAGCAGGGGACAACTTGCAGCCTCTAAAATCTTTTTCCTTTTTGCAGTCTGAGCCCCTTCCAACTGCAGAATTAAGTCTCGGGTCATTTTAAAGTGGAAAACATAAAATAACTTTTGTATCAGCATGTAACATTTTATACACTGGCCGGGTTTTGGTGAGATGGGCAGCTATATGAATTTGACAAATAAATGCATAAATAAGCTTAGCAGAGTTTTGAAAAAACAATAGAAAATCTCAGCTCAACTTGTATACCTCCCACTTTGTCTCATTCCTTGAATTGGCCCTGTCATCCATCTAAACTGGACCACATTTACATCTCCTGCCCAGTAAAAGTTGTCCACCTTTTACTTGTCCTAGAACAGACATGTCAAACGCAAGGCCCGGGGGCCGGATGCGGCCCGCGAAGTGGTTTCATGTGGCTCGCAAAGCCATCCTGGAAACAGTGAGGGAACGGCCCCCGTTGTCTTGGCCCTGGCCCAGGCTGGCCGGGAGCCAATGTACAATTTTGTGGTTGCCATCTGTACAATTTTGTGGTGGCCATGCTGAAACGCATTCAGTCTTAGC